TTGATCCATTTCAAATTAGTTTTTTGTGTATGGTTCGAGGTATGGATCTTGCCTCATTTTTCTGCATAAGGAAATCCAGTTTGCTAGCATCATTTGTTGAAGTTGCTGTTTGTGATATACTTTATTAAATGTTATCTGTAGTTATTAAAATGTATCTGTTTGATGTCTGTTTATTCTACTTGCCTCTAAGTTCCATGAGACTGGGGATTCTGCCTCATCTCTATGCTCTTCACAGTTGCTTCCCCAGATCCTCATCCAGAGCCAGACCTTTAGCAGAAGCTCAATAGATATTTCTTGAACAAATGGATGATTGTTGTTGTTGTTGTTATGTGCCATAGAGTCGGCCCCAACTCATAGCGACCCCTCCTTGGGTTTCCAAGGCAGTATCACTACAGAAGTAGGAGTGCCAATAATAACCATAAATTCTTCCTTTTGCTGTTCAGTACTTGCTTTCTATGTTTTGGTAGACACCCATTCATTTTGGTTGCCAGTTTAATAATGGAGACATCTTAACGTGACTGGCAACATATTGAGCAAACATGGGATGAGTTTAAACTGTAGACAAAGTACACTTTTAGAGATTTTTGGGATACAGAGGTTAAGAAGTTATCATTTCCTTCTATACACTTTCACTCTAGTTTAGAGCTATATTACCACAATACACTGCAAGGCTGAGTACCTTCTAAGGAAAAAAGGGTCCTCATTCTGAGGATGCAGAGGGAAACTCCAAATCAGATTCCACATGCCATTGAATTATTCTTATTTTTTAATGTGAAAAAATTTATCACAATGTGTGTGTATATATGTATGTGTGTATGTGTGTGTGTATACACAACTACTCCTCACTTATCAACTATCTCATTAGCCAACATTTTGCTTTTACCATAACTTTGAAAAAATTCTCAAGAGGTAGTTCTGATGGTCCAGGCCCCATTGGGGCTGCAGCCTTCCCGCCTTCTGTGGACCACCCAGAATTATATGCTGGAGGCCCGAGCAATGGCTAAGCCACATGAGGGACAGGAGCAGACCAATAAGCTATGGGACACCTTCTGTTCTTCTGTGACCTTGTCTGGCTATGGAGGGCATGGGATAATGGCAGGATGATACAAGGCTGCAGACAGGCAGAGGGGAGACTGGGGGAATGTCTGAGGGTGCTGGGGAGGAGATTGGTGAGAGGTTGTAGGAAAGGAGGAGAGGGAAGAGTATGAATCTGTGAGGCCTTTGGTGGACAGAGGACCAATGGGATCCCAGTTCTTTGGGCATTCAGACCAAAGGTGGTGGCTGGTGGACCAACTCCTATGGACTATGTGATAGTGACAAAGGCATGGCGGGGAAGCGGGGAACTCTCTGTGCCATGCATATTCCCAAATGTGATGGGTAGTGAGTGATGGTGGAGGGCAGAGCAGGACACCTGTGTTGAAGATGGTCCCAACATTTAGCATAATGACTTGGCCTTTGGAACTTAACATATAGATAAGCGAAGAGAGGGTATATATCTCCATCTCTATATCCCTGGGTGGCTCAAATGGTTAAGCTCTTGACTACCAGCTGAATGGTTGGTGGTTTGAACTCATCCAGAAGGTTTGGGACAACAAGCCTGGTGATATGCTTCTGAAACATCACAGCCTTGCAAACCATAGATGTATATATATATATATTGCTGAAAAGTCTGTTCTGACTAATGGCAACCTCATGTATGCCAGAGTAGAATTTTATCCACAGAGGTTTTTTTTGTTGTTGTTGTTGTTGTTTTTAAATAGTTTATTTGTTGTTTTTGTTTTGTCATTGCAAATATGTATAGCAGAACTATGCTAATTCAACAGTTTCTATATGTACAACAACATTGATTACATTCTTTGAGTAGTACAACCAGTATCATCTTTCTTTCTGAATTGTTACTTCCCCATTAACATAAACTTGTTGCCCCTTAAGTTTCCTATCTAAACTTTCAAGTAGCTAAGGAAGATTGGGCAATCTACTTCCATAGTGATACTGCCTAGGAAACCCAAGGAGGAGTCGCTATGAGTTGGATCCGACTTAGCAGCAAAGCGTTTGGTTTTGGTTTTTACTGTCATTTTTATTCCAGAATGATAGATCTTAAAAGAACACAGTGCTCAATACAGATATCCTTTATTAGTTATTCTGAACCGTTGTATGGTTTTAAGAAGACTTAGGAGATATTTTTGGTTTAAGGTTTGAGGTTTAAAGATGATCTCAGGGCAGTAGTTTCAGTGGTTTATCCAGCCTCCAGAAAATCTGAATTCTATGAAAATTTGAAGTTCTGTTCTGTATTTCTCCCTTTTGACAGAAATATTCAATAATAGAAGTTAGGCACCATCTAATTCTTCTGGTATCATGAAAAAGGAGGAAATTGATCATGGGGGTAACATTCCATTTCCTTCTATTCCTATTTCTGTTGCTTTAGGCAAATCAAAACCAAATGTTGTGCCTTGGATGTCCACTTGCCAGTTTTTAAGACCCCAGACTTTATGCAATGAACTAGGAGGTAGAACAGAAACGCTAAACAAACTTATTAGGCAAATTAACTGGGATGTACAATGAAATCATGACCCTAAACCTCCAAACCAAGGAACAAAATCCTATGAGGTATTTGGTTTTACATAAGCAGCTTCAGCAGCTAGTTCCATTGGGTTGTCAGTGGCTAAATTCTCAGAAGTAGGTCACCAGGCCTCTCTTCTGAGTTGTTTCTAGGTAGACTCAACCACCCTTTTAGCTAGAAGGTGAGTGTGTTAACCCCTTGTACCACTCAAGAGCTATGTTGTTGTTGTTATGTGCCGCTGAGTTGGACCCAACTCATAGCGACTCCTCCTTGGGTTTCCGAGGTGGTATCACCATGGAAGTAGATTGCCCAACCTTCCTTCCAAGGAGTGGCTGGTGAGTTTGAACCTCCAGCCTTCTGGTTAGCAGTCAAGTGCCTTAGGCACTATATTACCAGAGCTTCCTCAAGAACTATAAGTATATATAATTGGTGTTAGGTGCTGTCAAGTCAGCTCTGACTCATAACAGCCCTACGTACAACAGAACGAAACACTGCCCAGTCATGTACCATCCTCATAATACTTGCTATACCTGAGCCTATCATTGCAGACACTGGGTCAATACATCTCAATGAGGGCCTTCCCCTTTTTAACTGACCCTCCACTTTACCAAGCATGATATCCTGCAGGGAATGGTCCCTTCTGACAATGTGGCAAAAGTAGGTGAGATGAAATCTGGCCATTTTCACTTCCAAGGAGCATTCAAGCTGCACTTATTCCAGGACATATTTGTTAGTTCTTCTGCCAGTCCATGGCACTTTCAGTATTCTTTGCCAACACCACAACTCAAAAGCATCAACTCTTCTTCAGTCTTCCTTATTCATTGTCCAGTTTTCACATGGATATGAGGCTATTGAAAATACCATGGTTTTATTTAAGCATTAAGACGTCTTTGCTCTTTCAGCATTCATCTGATTTCTTGACTGCTGCTTCCATTGGTATTGATTACGGAACCAAGTAATATGAAATCTTGGAAAACTTTAATCTTTTCTCCATTTATTGTGAAATTGCTTATTGGTCCAATTGTGAGAATTTTTGTTTTCTTGATTCAATCAAATTCCTAATCAGGCCCTCCTACCATATTTTCCTGTTAATGAACTTTGTGATATCTTTCTATATTCTGCTTTATATTTCTATGTCTTCAGTTCTTTGATAGTTTGTAATTCAAAAGTGTACATAAGAAAAATGAAGTATTTAATTGTGAATATTTGGAGGTAAATGTATATGGTGAAATAAGAAAGTGGTGTGTCACAGTCCTGGGCTTCAATTTTATGTTCTGTTTGCCAGTAGACACACACTTTCCATCCAAAGTTAAAATTATGCATAATAAAGTTTATTGATCTCTAAAAATAATTTTATTGAGTAATGCTTCTGATTATTTTCATTCTTTTTCTGAGAAAAGTGAAGTCAGAACAATGTTTCTCTAGAGAACAGAATGGATTTCATGCTTTACCTTACCATATTGCTTGTTTTAGAAAAGTGGATGTTGCCTAATTCTGTACTTTGTGTGTGTGTTTTATATGTCCTCCCTCAAGGTCTCTGGATGGTGCAAATGATTTGCTGTAAACTACCAACCAAAAGGTGGAAGTTTGTACCCCCCTGATGGTATCATGGAAGCAATATCTGGTGATCTGTTTCCATAAAGATTATAGTAAAATAAATAAATAAACAAATAAATAAATAAACAATAAATAAATAAATATAAACAATAGTGTGGTGTGCTCTATAACATATTGGGTGGTCATGAGTCAGAATGGACTCAATGGCAGTAAGTTCAGATGTCCTTTCTCATTAATGACAGGCTGTCATACATAAAGAAAGCATATTCACTCCTTGGACTAGAGGTGATGTTTGCAATGGAAGGAAGCCCAAACTTACTGCCATCAAGTCATTTCCAACTCATGGAAACCCCATTGAGTTTCCGAGGCAGTAAGTCTTTACAGAAGTAGGCTGCCCAGTCTTCAATTGTAATAGCCATTATTAAGTAGTTTATATTACTATCTAGATAGTGCTTGACTACTTAAGAGTCTCAAAGCATTATAATAATTTTAATTTTGATGAATGAAATGACTCTCAAAGCTTCTAAGTTAACTGTAAACTATTCTTGTTTAATGGAGAGAAGTGACACCATGGCTTGAGTAATACCAAAGCCACTGTGACTATTCTCTCTAATAGCATCATGTGGGATGGGCCTTGGTGTCAGTGACACTTGGTTTATATTTCAGCCTCACCCCTCCTAGCTATATGACATCCCAGACATTATATCCCTTTTCTGATTCCAGTTTGTTCACTGCACAACGAAGGTAATGATACCAGCTTCTGCAAGTAGCTATCAAAAGACAGTAAAGCAATCCTTCTCAAGAAGGTTTTTATTAATCCTCTTAAATATCTCTTTCCTTTGCTAGGGTGTTTCCAGATTGAGTGTTGGAGCTCACCAGCAACATGCCAGAACAAAGCAATGATTACCGGGTGGCTGTGTTTGGGGCAGGAGGTGTTGGCAAGAGCTCCCTGGTCTTGAGGTTTGTGAAAGGCACGTTTCGGGAGAGCTACATCCCAACAGTGGAAGACACCTACCGGCAGGTCATCAGCTGTGATAAGAGCATATGCACACTGCAGATCACTGACACAACCGGCAGCCACCAGTTCCCTGCTATGCAGCGTCTGTCCATCTCCAAAGGGCATGCCTTCATCCTGGTGTACTCCATCACCAGCCGCCAGTCCCTGGAGGAGCTCAAACCCATCTATGAACAAATCTGTGAGATCAAAGGGGATGTGGAGAGCATTCCTATCATGCTGGTAGGGAATAAGTGTGATGAGAGCCCAAACCGTGAGGTAGAGAGCAGTGAGGCAGAAGATTTGGCCCGGAAGTGGAAGTGTGCCTTCATGGAAACCTCAGCCAAGCTCAACCACAACGTGAAAGAGCTCTTCCAGGAGCTGCTCAACCTGGAGAAGCGCAGGACCGTGAGCCTACAAATTGACGGGAAAAAGAGCAAGCAGCAGAAAAGGAAAGAAAAGCTGAAAGGCAAATGTGTGGTTATGTGAGCATCCCTTCAGTGGGGGGAGCTGTTTTGTGGCCCGAGTTGCCTCATTTTCCTTCCTCCAGTGTGAAATCTACAACCATCAGTCAGAGTAGCATGTACAATGTCCATGTGTAAAATTTTGCATTTTGACAGAGACATGCCCTACTGTCCTTAAAGAGAGGCATGTCACACCACTAACAATAGCAACCTCCCTCCAGAATATAAAAATCTGCCAGATTCAATGAAAATCAATCTGTTCAGCCTCTCAGGAAACTGAGAGAGGTGCTGCTTTCTGAAGGTATCATTCTTCATTAGAAAGCTCTAGGACTTGTCCCCACAGCAGCTGCCTGTGCTGAAAGGACTAAGTATCATCTACGTGCATGTGAGAGCATGTTAATGTTGAACTACAGTACCAACTTAAAACCAGATGTTTCTCTCAGCTTAGAATTAAGTCTTTTGGGAAGGGGATGAGCAGGAGGAGAGGAGAACGACCAGGCTAAAATTGTTTCCTTTCATGGTGTTTTAACTAGATGAAAAATAATATCATGTAGGCTCCCCAGTGAATGGTCATTCTCATGCCCACTTGCCCTGTTAGGGTCCCCACTACCCGGGAGGAGGGAATGTCTCTAGACCTAGTTAGCAAGTATTATCTGATCTTTAGAATATTTATTTTCACAGACAGTGATGGGTTATCTAAATGTGTGCTGCTCTGTCAGATGTTCTTTAGTTTTGGAGTGAAAATATTGTGACATTACTAAAACATTGCAATAACATTGCTGCATGTTGCACCTCTAGGGTTTTAGAAATACAAGATTCCTTCCTTTGATAAATGAGGGATATAACTTTCTCCCAACCCTCAGATTTTAAATAAAAATGAATAAAATACCTATTTTTAGACTTATTTTTTCCTTCAAGATATTTTTTCTCTTTTAAATTACTTGATCTGTGCACCTGTTGGATAACAGGTGACAAAGATCATCAATGACCAGAAGCACATTCATTTTTCTAAGTGACACAAACATATATAAGCCACTCTTTGCACCTTAAAAAAAATAGCTTGAATGAGAAGTCATTAATTGTGTTTTTGATGATCTATCAATCTCTATCAGAAGTATATTCCTGGAAAATGCATTCAATTAATTCTGAATTATTTTGCATATTCCATAATAAATGTCTCCTAAGAGCTGTTCAATGCTGTTTTCACTCTAGAAACAATCATCTTCTTTTCCTAGTGACTTTGTGTGCATCTTTAATCCTTCAAACCAAATTATGACCATTGTTAGGTACTGTGTGCTGGCACGGGAGACGGAGTAAGGAATTGTATGGCAGACAGCTGCTCTGTCCTTGACAGAGCCCATCAGCTAGCTGCTTTGCCATTGTACACCTCAGTGTGGCTCTGCTTCCTGAACATTCTCACTGACAAAGTTTCTTAGAGCTCCTGTGTGTGTCAGCCAGCATAATGCACATTGGTGCCCTGTGAGATCCTCTGTTGGAATGCCTTCCTGTTGGAATGCCTGGCAAGCAAAGGAAGCTGGAGTACCAGCTTGCACAGATGAGCTGCTTGGCTATTGAGTAGCAGTGCTAGCTGCAGGCAGAGTTCTAGAGTTCAGGATGCTTGTCTTCAGCACATACCTTATTGGGTCTTCTCTCTTGGGCACCTTGTGTCTTTTTACTGCCTCTTCTCAGTAGAGATTGAAATATCCCAGTCCTTTTAAGTACACTTAAGCCCTCAACATCTCCTATTTTGCTTTAGCTTTTTCCTGTTATTTTATTATTATTATTATTTTATTTTTTTGCCTTGGTCTCACTCTCTCTGCTCTACTAATAAATTACCCTTGCAATGTAACTATTGCATGGAAGCAGTCTTTAAGAACAATATGGCTCTGTGGTCTTACTACCTTCCTCATCCATTGCAGTGACCTCCTAGAACAAACCCTCCTTGACTTTACTCAGGGTAGGGGATATTCATGTGGAAAAAGGAGGCAAGGAATTGTCCTGGAGCATATGGGGTGGAGCCCAGGGCTTTCTGGAAGGTCTTGAGAATCTCTTCAAAGCCAAATGGGTATACCCTCAAACAGGCTTGTTTTGTTCCAAAAGGTTGACTCAAGCTTTCATGTTGTTGTTGTTGTTATGTGCCATTGAGTCAGACCTGACTCATAGCGACCCCTCCTTGGGTTTCCGAAGCAGTATCACTATGGGAGTAGATTGCCACATCTTCCTTCTGAGGAGTGGCTGGTGGGTTTGAACTGCCAGCCTTCTGGTTAGCAGTCATGGTGAGATTTAATTTGTGGGTTTTCTATATTTACTTTTCAACTTCCCCCTGTGTTTTTCTATTTATGTTCTCAGAGAACTATCATGAATTTGTAATTTGAAGGTGAGTTACATTGCAGAAGAAACAGAACTTCATGACTCTATAAACTTCATGAGGTTTATAGAATTTGGCTAGGTTCTCTGCTAGCAGTAAAATGTGATATCTGCCACTAATCCTACAGGGCCCAGCAAACAGTCTTCTTTCTACTAATTGAAAATCAGAATTCTTTTAGCCCTTTCAAGCCAGCATCTACATTTGTAATATTCAGAGCTTCATCTGAACCTCTGGGTGGTGCAAGTGATTAACCCTGTAGATTACAGTTCTACACTGACACACGTGGGGTCACCCTGAGTTAGAATTAACTCAATAGCAACTGGATTGAGAACTTCATAAATATGAGAAGCTTGTAATGATTGAAAATCAAACCTCATTCAGGAAACCTTTTGTTCCTTCATATTTTGTCTGAGTTGTATAGGAAGGTTGTTGAATCCTTAATCCCTGGCCTTCATATTTTCCATGAGCTAACCAGAAGATATGGATAGTTATTCCAAAATAATCTTTCAGAAGGAAGGGTCCCAACTGACTCAGGGCTTGGGGAGCAAATGCTGCTGAATCAGAAGTTTTCAGCATTTATATGACCCATCTTCATATGCAGTTGTGGTTCTTGAGAACAACACATCTTACATTGTATCTGGGCACAGACATTATTGACCTAGCTACAGTAAGTTATAGAACACAAAATATTGCTTTGAAGATAAAAATGTGGCAACAAGCATGGGATTGAGTTCCCTTCTGTCCTGTGGGTCCCTTCTCCATTCCATCCCGTGACAAGCCATGAGTGTGCCCTGGGCATGCATGCAATACAGCAAGAACAACACAAGAGCAATATTGAATTGTTCATTATAGCTAAATATATATATGTTTTGTGTATACTTTCTTGCATTTTTGAAATAAAAAGTAGCAAATTGTACATATCTGTAAGCAGGTATATTTGTTTCACTGTTTGTAATATTTAAGAAATGCTCATTCTTTGTAGACACAATGTATTTGATATTAAACATTTCTCTGTGGGTTATTTCTACATATGTGCTGTAAATATATCCATCAATATAGTAGAGCATACAAGGGACAAAATTATGAAAACTTCTTGGCCATAATCAAACACCTTGAGGGAATGAGTCACTAGGCCTGGGGCTCAGGACCATAGTCATAGAAGACATCAAGGTCAATTGGCATAACATAGTACAAAAAGACAATGTTCTACATCCTGCTTTGGTGAATAGTGACTGATGTGTTAAAAGCTTGTGAATGGCCATCTAAGGTGCAACTATTAGTCTCTCCCCATCCAGAGCAAACAAGATTGAAGAAAATCAAAGCCACATGTAAACAATTAGTCCAAAAGACTAATGGACATGTGAACACCAGCCTCCATAACCCTGAGACCAGAAGAACTAGGTGGTGCCCAGCTATAACTGCCAACCACCCTGAAAGGAATCACAATAGAAGGTCCTGGATAGAATGGGAGAAAACATAGAACAAAACTCAAAATAGTAGTAATAATAACAACAACAACAACAACAACAACAAAACGAGGCTTACTGGTCTGATAAAGCCTGGTAGGACCCACTTAGTCAACCTTCAATCCTGAAACCAAACTCATTCTTGTGGCTCAACTTTCAGCCTAATGTAGACAGGCTTATAAGGTGAAAAATAATACCAGGGAGGTACACATGCATTAGAACAATCAATGATAGGAGATCAAAATGGCAGTGTTTGCCCAGGGATAAAACTCAGAAGGCAGGAAGTGATAGGTAAGAAGGACAAATGGAAACTGGAAACAGGAAGTGGAAGGGGAGAATGCTAATTACATTGATCACAGCTAATGTCACAATAATGTGTATGAACTGTCAAATGGAAAACCAATTAGCTCTGTAAACTTTCACCCAAATCACAATAAAAAGTTAAAATAATAAAAGGTATAAAATCTTTGAAAAAATTAAAAAATTCCTCTGTGATACTTAATTTTTTCAAAAATTTAAATGTGTTACACCTACATAAGCTCTTTGAAAATATCTGTAACTAAAGGAACATATGAAAATCCTCTAAGATATGTCCTGGAATTCAGTACACCACAATGACAATCTGTGGACAAAGTATTTACAGAGCATGACTTTTGTAATTGTGTGATATCAAGGTGTATATTTATATTCAAAGTGTATTTATTGTTATTATTTCATTATTGATTCTATTTTATTTACTCTGAAGGTAATAAAAATCACTCTTGCATACATGTTTCTAGTTGGCAGTGATGTTCTGAATGTAATGAGAGACATTAAAATAAAACTTCAATTATGACAACCTGGCTGGCAGATGGTAATGTTTATTATTCTTTTTGGATTTAATCAAAACCAAAACCAAACTCAGTGCTGTCCAGTCTATTCCTACTCATAGCGACCCTTCCTTGGGTTTCTGAGGCAGTATCTCTACAGAAGTAGATTGCTCAGTCTTTCTTCCAAGGAGTAGCTGATGGCTTAGAACCTCCAGCCTTCTGGTTACCAGTCAAATACCTTAGGTACTATCATTTTTCATGCATGACACACATACATGTTGGATTCCTAGCCAACACACCTCATGCTCAGCATCTGTATATCAGTGGAGGTTTGCATTTAACTATGATGCTGAACAGTTTCAGTGACTAGGAAGAAAGGCTT